GCCTCATTGGCAAGCTTGGTCCCAACGTAAATCTCAGTTTTCTTCTCAGAACTGACTAGACAGTGGGACACTCCAGACTTACGCCCTTCTTCCTCACAGAGATGCTGGGGTCAGCAAAACCCATGCCCATGCCCACCCAATATGTCTTTTTTGGGGGAGTCAGCACACAGTTACATCCATAGGAAGACAGGTCTGTGCATCCAGGAACCAGGCATTCAACAGATTCCCCTAGATATATGCTTCTGAGTCATCAGCTTGCCAACACAGCAGGCGAAGCCTAGCACATTTATAAATAATCTGTGGGAAACTCGGGGGAAACCGTAGTTTTCCTCCCTCACAGGATCTTCTTTAAGCAGGAGCTCCCTTTCCTTAGATGTTTGTAAGGAGCAACAGCATTAAAGATCAGATAGTCGGTAAGTTCAATGGAGAGAGACCTTTACGTGCAAGTATCAAGAGCAGTACAAGTGTCAAGAGCAACACAAGCTCGTGCAGCCTCTGCTGAAATCTGCTATGTATTCTCACAGCTTTCAGTTTAAAGTTAGCTTGGGTGTACCTGCATGCCTTGTAAGTCAGTACAACTGCAGCCCCCCAGATCTCCGAGTTATGATGGAACAGTAGCCAATCTTTTTAAAGTCAATGAACTGTAGCATGACATCCTGTTTTAAGTAGAACTTTCTACTGGACCCTGTCACAGCTCTCCTAGCGGCTAAAGCTTAAATAGTTAGAGATTATGACACTGCCTCCAAAACAAATCACAGACTTTCTACTTTCAAAGGATGCAGTCAGGAAAAAGCTGTAGCTAGGAAGGCTGGGAAGGCAGGCAGGCAGGCACGATTAGCATTTTGGCTCTGTGATACTACAACACCAATTTCCAAGCATATTGGATCAGTTGGGTAATTTTATCTTTCCAAATGTCTCGTGGACCATAATCAGATTAAACTGAATTGCAGTGATCTTGAAATCTACTGTCAATACAGGTGCACTGCTGAAATGCAGACACCACGCAGTGACCAGCAGCTCACGAGCAACAATTCTGGAACCACTGTTCTAGGGTTTGCTCTGCACAGTGGTGGCTATTAGTGGAATTTGCCACAGAATTCGTTCTCCTGAGTTACTCTGCAAAATTGGAGCTTTCGAGTAAAAAGAAACACATCTAGGCTAAAACACATGCAAAAACGTGAGAAGTGGTACAAAAATCTTCTACTCACAGCTGCAGATGGCTAGCTTATGTAGCTACTTTTCAGATGGTAGTTTTGACCTTACCAGTGCAAATTGTATCAGGGAGGCAAAAGACATCCAGCCCCACTGCACTGTAAGCAGTGCAGAGGAAACCCAGACAGTCACATGGCCACAAAATGGCAGGTGACCCACAGATGTCTGACTGGACAATGCCAACAGAGCAGGTAGGGCTGTAGCCTCTTCTGTACTCATTGCACATCCATGCCCAAAGAAAGGTTCTCCTGTTTAAGACTCAGCCGCAAGTGAACAGTTAGTACTACTCCAGCAGCAGGTCTCAATAACTGAATATATCCTATATTTTTAAAAAACCAAGTCAATCAGAACCAATACGTAGCCTAAACAAAAGGACAATGGGACTATGATGAAGACAAGGGATAATCAAGTGCTAATCAGTAGCAAAATCTGTAACCTTAAAGTAATAGTAGAGATGCCAGAGCAGTAGTTAGTCGTTGACACTGTATAAATTAGACAGCTAGAATATCATTAGCATTACCTTTTCAAACCACATAGGCAAAGAAAATTCCTGATTATTATGGTGGATTACAGGACAATCCAATTATTAGTCTCAGCATAAATACTCCTTGTAATTAATGGGCAACCGTGTTAAACTCTGCTAACATGTTTTCCATATTAAAACTCACAAGTAACTCATTGAAGATTTTGAGCAATCTGGCAACCCCTGCACAATTAGCTGGGTTTCAAAATGGTAATCAGCCAATTTTGTAAGATTTATCCTCTCTATCGGCATGTCCTAGTGGCAAACACCAGTGTTTATTATTTCTATTGCTATACGATTATCATGTGTTAGACATTAGTTCACACATCAGCCTTAAATTCATGTAGCTCAATCACACGGCCACAACATGGAGGTGAATGTAGACATGAAGAAGACATTTGGGGTGGATTCATAGTCTACTGACAGGGTAAATGACAAAAAATCCCCTCCAGACCCTGTGTGGGAGGAAAAAGAGGCTAGGTCTTCCTTACTTGACAAGTGTATGACAGTGCAGTGCAGACTGCGGATTTTGTTACTGATTTTGTGTATCGTGAGACAACAGATGCTAGCAGGGATTGGGAATGTTACTTCATCTTCTAAACAACGGACGCTGTGACTTAATGTGGTGAAACACACAAGATAAGGTAGAGGATTGACTCTTCTGCTACAGCGATGGCAACTTTAATCCTGCTGGAAGAGAAACCAGCTTACCTTGCAAAACTCTCTGGAAGGTGTTCTTTTGTTTCAGTCCCCTGGCCAGCTGTCACTGCCATTTCACTCACTCATTTCAGAGAGTCACCTGGCAAGTCAAAGGTGCCCAATGTTTTTTCTTCTGGTTGTGGATGTCCATCGGAGGCCTGGGATGTGCCTGTCCTTGGTGGAACAGTGTCTGGTGGGGACAGCACCTGCTCTGAGATCCTGGGGTCCAGGCTGTGGGGCTCTGGGGTGTCATGGCCGCCCTGAGCTCACCCCACTCCGGGCCCTGCCGGGGTGCGATGGGCAGGGAATCCTGACAGGAAATCTTACACTGGGACTGAAAAGGATCCCAGGAAAGGGGCGAGTCCGGCCATTTCTTATCCTACACCTGGACATTTTTGAGGAAGTTTGGTAAAGTATCGCCCTTTCGGCGCTTTCAAAGCACAGTTCTAAGCTTCCCTGTTTGAAGCAACTTGGACACGCACACCCCTCAAAACCCGCTCGTTCCGCCAGCATCTCCCCTGACCTGCCGCTCCCAACTTCTTTGTTCAACTTTCGTTAACTCGGGCCGAGGGGAAAGACGGCCAAAGCGCTGAGGGGAGCCGACCTCCGGCGGGAAACCTGGCCGCGGCCGAAATGCTGAGGGGAGCCGACCACGGGCGGGAAACCCGACGGCGGCCGAAGCGCTGAGGGGACCCGACCACTGGCGGGAAACCCGGCCGCGGCCGAAGTGCTGAGGGGAGCCGACCTCCGGCGGGAAAACCGGCCGCGGCCGAAGGGCTGAGGGGAGCCGACCTCCGCCACCGGTCCGCCCCACGGCCTCCCCCGTGAGGGGCGAGGGGAAGGGGGTGCGGTGGTAATCGGTGCCGTCTCCAGGCAGAGCGATGGGACTTGGGCCTGGGGCCAGGCCTGAGGGGAGGCAACCGGGGCCGGGGCCGGCCGCCGTCGCCGGTCCTTCTCCTCAGAGGGGCGGGCCGGAGGCGGGGCGGGGCGGGCAGCGCCCGGCCCCGCCGCTGCGTGGGGAGGGCGCGGCGGAGCGGCGGGGGGGCGGGGTGTAAAGAAAACTAATCTCTCT